ACAGATACAATGCCATACTGCCCACACTCCAGACAAGCTGTTGCCAGTCTCCAGGTGACAGCTGGAGAGATCTTAAAGCTTTGGTGCTAATCCAAAGTGTTGCAATTTATTGACAGAGTAGTGTTTTGGAAAACCTTTAGGAATTGTTTGGTGCATTTACGATGGGGCTCCTGGGGAACTATTGTTGCCAATCTTGGCCCAGCAGCCATCAAACCATTCTCTTCAACCCCCTGCTGTGCAGCTGACTTTCCCCGCCCCCCTGCCCAATGCTGCCCTCTACAGAATCCACCCCCCAAACCTCCAGGTATTTCCCTCCTTAGAGCTGGCAACCCTACATTCCCCTCAGTGCCTGTTGGTAGGCAACTAAGCTTGGTCCTGTCACCTACTTTGGCCTTTAGGAGAAAACACATTGGGGCCAGTCTTGATAAGGTTGCCAACTCCAGATGGGAAATTCCTGGAGATTTGAGGGATGGAGCCTGAAGAGGGTGAGGTTTGAGGAGGGGTGGGACCTCAGACAGGTACACTGCCATAGACTCCACCCTCCAAACCAGTCAGTCCCACATAGGGAACCATTGTTGCCAATCTCCAGGTGAGGGCTGGAGAGCACTCAGAATTACAACTGCTCTGCAGAAGGGAGGGCGGAAGTCAGCTGAAGTCAAAGGGGCAGATAATGGTAGGTTGATGGTTAGCTGGGAAGGAGATGGGGTTGCCAACTACATGCTGACAAATTCCTGGGGATTTGAGGGGTGGAGCCTGGAGAGGGTGGGGTTTGCAGAGGGGTGGGACCTCAGACAGGTAGAATGCCATAGACTACACCTTCCAAACCAGCCATTTTGTCCTGGGTAACAATTGCTGCCAATCTCCAGGTGAGGGCTACAGATCACTCACAATTACAACTGCTCTTCAGGTAGCAGAGATCAGTTCCTCTGGAGAAAACAGTGGACTCTGTCATTATACCCTGCTGAGGTCACCACAGCAAATTGACACTGTTTGCCCAAAGCCAGAGCACTGCCCCAGAGCCTCCTTCTAGATCTTGTAGTAGAGATGTATTGCTTTCACAACGGGCTTTACTGCTAGTTAAACATAAACCTTAGAATCAGCAGTAATGGGAATTCAGTTCAGAAACTAGGTCATGGAATCAAAGTGATCCAAGAAAGGAAGTTCAAAGAAAAAGGGAGGACCCTTACTGGTGTCCAATTCACACCATTGTGTTTTGTTCTCTCTCTCAATGGTCTGAGTCGGGGCTGCAGCATCAGCCCTCATTTTCAATTTCCTGCCTTTTTGTTGCTCTGCACTCACACCTTTTTTTTGTTTGCAAAACTTAGCTCTTATTCTGAAGTGTGCAGAAAGGAGCATGCTGCACTCAGAAGAGCATGCCAAACTTTTTGGCTGGTTCCCACAGCTCAGGAATCAGGGTTGCCGAGAGTATGCTATTGAAACACAAATAGTGCACCAAGTATCTGTACTCTGCATAAGCAGTCCTTGTCCTAATTGCTGAAGGCCAAAGAGGCTGTTCGGATACTGCTGCTGCATATTAATTACTCTTTTGTCTGGAGGAGCAGTCATTTTTTTTTTTTTTAGAGAAACAAACCTGAAACACGGAATGGCTTGTCATATGTGCACTGCAAGCAACCTTCCTAACTGCGGTCCAGCCAGCCTTGAGGTCAAACCACATATTAAACTGGATTTTTATGATAGAAGCACCCAGTGTGTAGCTTGCCTGTCACCAGTGTTCCCTCTAAGCTGAGTTAGTGTGAGCTAGGTCACAATTTTTTAGCCTCCAGCTCACACATTTTTGTCTCAGGAAGGATGGCTCCAGAGCAAACTAATTGATGCAGTAGCCAAATTGCTTGCTCACAACTTTAATGCCAGCAGCTCACAAAGTAGAATTTTTGCTCACAAGACTCCACAGCTTAGAGGGAACATTGCCTGTCACCCAGGGAAGGCAATTTGGATTGAAGCTGTATTGAGACTCCAGAGGAGATTGGATTCATACCCCGCCCTTCACTACCCAAAGGAGTCTCAGAGCGGCTTACAAAGCCACAACAGCCACCCTGTGAGGTAGGTGGGGCTGAGAGAGCTCTTGACAGAAACTGCTCTTTTTCAAGAACAGCTGTGCCAGAATTATGGCTTGCCCAAGGTCATCCAGCCAGGTGCAAGTGGAGGAGTGGGGAATCAAACCCGGGTCTCCCAGATTAGAGTCCGTGCACTTAACCACTACACCAAACTGGCGGGGAAGGAGAAGTTAACTCTCTCCTCTAATCTGTTTTCCCAATCAGAAATGTCCCTGACACACAGGCTGCTTTCAACTCCTCTATGGGAAAAAGACAGGCCGAATACATTCCTTGTCTCTCCCCCCCCCCCGATCAGGACTTAAAGCAGCATGGGGGGGGGGAGAGGGTAACCAGAAAACAACACTGGGAGGAGGTCATCCACTCCTTCCCCAGTGCCATGGCCCCATCAACATGCTACAAGCATGCTACAAGCTACATGCTACAAGCATGGATGGCTTCAAAAGGGAATTAGATAAGCATATGGAGCAGAGGTCCATCAGTGGCTATTAGCCACAAGGTATAGATAGGGACTCTGGGGCAAGTGATGCTCTGTCATCTTGGTGCTTGGGGGGGTCAACAGTGGGAGGGCTTCTAATGTCCTGGCCCCACTAGTGGACCTCCTGATGGCGCTGGTATTTCTGGCCATTGTGTGATACAGAGTGTTGGACTGGATGGGCCTTTGGCCTGCTCCAACATTGGCATCTCTTATGTTCTATTAGGGCTCTCTGCAGATGCTTTCTGAGCAAAACTGCCTGTCTGGAGTTCCAGCTATGGAACATCAGCGTCACATGGGGTGCGGTCAGACAGTGGTCTGGGAGCAGTGTAAACCACTCCAGTTCCAACTGATGAATTTGATCCGGGGAAACGCAATCACACTCACCTCTCACTGCGCAGCACATCACTCCCCGGCATCCACACTTCAGGTGCTCAGCAGCGCGCGTCGGCGTTTAAAAAATAATCTACAGTTTGCGCATGCACAATCTCTCCCTTATAATAAAAGAATAGTGGGTGCCAAAGTTCTAAAATTGGCCCCTTTAGTGTTAGGCTGAAAAAACTGCCACTCGGAAGACACTGGCTGGGTTCATTGGCTGCTTTGTGCAGTCCCGGCCAGTGTTCCAAGGTCATTTACATATGGAAGCTGATTGGACTACACTCCATTCCACA